GAAAAGAAAGGATAGGATGAGAGAGAAAAGCCAGAAGAGAAGAAAAGGAGATACAGACTCAGAGACTGAGAAGTTGAGAGACTCATTCTTGGGGAAGATGCTGGGAATTTGGGGGATTCATTCCTTATAATGCTCACTTTTATAAAAATAACTAGAGGCAGTTTTATGCCCCCCGAGGAGATGGTGCTGAGCAAATCCCTGCCCTGCGTGGCCACCTGTCCTGCCTCCATTCAGAGACAATGTAAGGAAAGCACCTGGCACCTAGCAAGCACTCAGTAAGGGGCTCCCATGCCGCTCCCCTCCCCAAAGTGCCTTTCCTCCTGAAGGTCAGTAGGAATGGTCTTGTCTGTCTGGGCTGACCATGCTGTGGTGTTGGGGGTGTTCTTTGCTGCATCTGGTGGGATCTGAGAAAAACACCTGTAAGGGACCCCAAAGGAGAACAGCAATTACTCCTCCCTCATGCGTTGCAGGCCTCACACTTTGCACAGGGCTTTAGCAAAGTATGGTAGCCCACGAGGCTGTCACAGCACCCTAGCACCGGGGAAGTTCTGATGCCTCCCCTCATTCTGGTTCACCCCCAGGGTGCACAGGAATTACAAAGTGGCCCTTCCCCTATCTTGATTTCCAATGACCTTTACTTCTCTTTGTGCCCATTTGTGCCCATATGTTAGCTCCCAGTTATTAGAGAGCACATGTGGTGTTTGGTTTTCTATTCCTGAGATACTTCGCTTAGGATAATGGTTTCCAATTCCATCCAAGTCGCTACAAAAGGCATTATTTCATTCATTTTTATGGCCAAGTAGTACTCCACGGGATATGTATACCACATTTTCTTAATCTACTCATGAATGGATGGGCACTTAGGTCAATTCCACGTCTTTGCAACTGTGAACTGTGCTGTAATAAACATTCGAGTGCAGGTGTCTTTTTGATAAAAATGACTTCTTTTCGCTCAGGTAGATACTCAGTAGTGGGATTGCTAGATCAAATGGTAAATCTACATTTATTTCTTTGAGGACTCTACATACTCTTTTCCATAGAGGTTGTACTAATTTGCAGTCCCACCAGCAGTATATAAGCGTTCCTTCTCTCTGCATCCACACCAGCATCTATTGGGGGTTTTTTTGACTTTTTAATAATCGTCATTCTGACAGTGGTAAGGTGATATCTAATTGTAGTTTTATTAACAAATTTACATTTCCTTGATGATTAGTGATGTTGAGCATTTCTTCATATGTTTGTTGGCCATTGGTCTATCTGCTTTTGAAAAACTTCTGTTTATGTCTTTGCCCACTATTTAATAGGGTTGTTTGGGTTTTTTGTTTTATTTTCTTGGTGATTTATTTGAGTTCTTTGTAGATTCTAGGTATTAGCCCTTTACCAGATGTATAGTTTGGGAAAGTTTTCTCCCATTCCATAGGTTGTCTATTCGTGCTGTTGATTATTTCCTTTGCTGTACGGAAGCTTTTTAATTTATTCAAGTACCATTAATTTATTTTTGTTATTTTCAAAAAGTTTCCCAAAATGTTTCACTTTTATAGTTAGGAAATGTGTGGAGCTTTCAAAATAGTTTTGAAAGTAAATGTATCACATTTGTAATTAGGAAAAAGGAGTTTTTTAAAAAAAAAAATCTCAATGATTGCAATAGTCCACTCGCATGAGTTCCCTTCAGTCCCCTCTGTGCCATTGGGTTGAGGTGGACAGATGAGACGACAGAGGTCCAGCAGCTGCATTTAGAGCATCAACTCCTCATTTTCACCCTGGTCTCTGAATGCAGAGAACAAAAGCACCATGTGTCATCTGCCCTCACTGTTCCCCTCACCGTTACCATTGCATGGAGTTTCTTCAGAGCTCAGACTCTTCAGGCTTCTTAGTGAGCTGTGTGAAGCAAAGGACACAGACACTTTACATCAGCCGATGCTTCTTTGGGATTTGGGAAATTGTTCAAGATGTTGCTTACCATAGCGCATGAAGTCCCCTTCAAAAACACCTGCAGAAGAGAAGTTGCTCTCTGACCATAGACTTCGGGAAAGTGGAGCCCGTTCTGCCTGTGCAGAACAGATATGTTTCTATCTAGCAAACCTCGTGCGTCCTTACTTAGACTGCTAGGAGGCACCAAGCTAGATTTGCCATTCAGCTTTAGCATGTGCACGTGCCTGTCTGATATACATTTTGTGTACCAACCTGACACCTGACTTCTTTGCTCTCTGCTACTCCTTACCTTTACTTTCCTTTGCCCTGATCACTCTTTCTTTCCATGCCTGCCTCTCTCTCCCTGTTTCTTCCTCTGTGTCCCTTCCTCTTCACCCTCTCTCCCCTCCCACTCCCATCTCTCTCTCAACACCCCTTCACCTGTCTTTGTCTCCCTCCTTCCCTCTCTCCTACACACACTTCTCTCTCATTGGCATCCTCTTCTTAAGGCACCTATTTTTCTAACAATTCCTGCTGCCTCTGAGTTTACGAGAAGAGGCAAAGCATCAGTAGAGATGAAATGAGCCCATAGCATTGAGTCCACCAATCAGTTCTGGAGAGAAGTGTTCCCAAAAGACAGGTCCATGGTTATGTTTTTTTTCTTTTAATATATTGCTGTTGACCTGATACTTCACCACCAAGAATCTCAGCAGATTTAAGGCTTTAGAATCACACAGGAGTTTGAAAAGCTGGAGGATGACTGTCTCCATAAAGGATCCCCTATAGGACCCCTGGCCTTTATACCTTTCCAAGAGGCTGTTAGTCTCTGTCCTTTGTTTCCTGTGTAGCACAGGCCTGTGTGTCCCAAACATTAGTGTGCTTCAGAATCCGCTGCAGGGCGAGTGTCACTGTAGAGCAATTCTACCTCAATTAACTCGATTTTTAGAAAATCACCTGGAGAGCTTGCACATGGCTTCCTGGGCCCCAGCCCAAACATCCTGATTCCTTAGATCTGGGGTGGGGCCCATGACCTAGGCTTTCTGACAAGCTCCTGGGGATGTGACACTGTCTGTCTGCAGCCCACACTTGGAGGAGCCCAGCTCGAAGCACTGACAAGGGACTTCCTCTAGCCACTTAGAAGTGGTGGTTTAAATGGCCTTTTGTGCAGCTTATCAAAAGGCTTTGAACATCTAAATCAAATTAGACCCACAGCTTTTAGCTCCTTCGTCTCTCCATGTTTGCTCCTTGATGAGTTCAGTGAGCACAGAGAAGCCAGTGATGCAAACTGCAGGAACCCTTCCAGTCCCAGTTCAGCATCCTGGTGTCCACTGTTAGCGAGTGACCAAGCCTGTTCATCAGGCTCCCAGGCCCAGGACTGGCAGGGACTGTAATCAGCCAGGCAGTCCTGGAGGCTGCTGCTCCACAGAGAACACGGCAGCCCCAGGTTGACGTCCCCCTGGCTTTGGGCTTCTCTGCTTGTCCTCATGTGTGGAAGAAAGTAACTCATTAGGAGCCAAAGGGGGCACTTGGACTTTTAGTTACATGTCACTGAATTGATGGGGGATCACATACTACAGTGATCTTTTCACATGGGGGATTCATTCGTATCTTGGGGTTGTCAGTGATAGTAGGAGAGCTAACAGCTGAGTGCTGTGGACCAGTTGGTTGAATGCAGTACTTAACAAGCATTACCTCACTGCATCTCAGAGCACCCAGGAGTGGGGGGCAGGACTCCCCATCTTGTGGGCACAGAAGCAGGCCAGGGGAGGCCAGCTGCTTCAGCCAGGTGGCAGGACGCAAACCCCTGTCTCTCTTGACTCCAAAGCCCATGTTTTTAACCACTACCCACTCTCCCTCCCACATCAAGGATTCTGTTGTATTTTTAGCCTCTGCTTTTTCCACTAGAATTATGGGATTTCTAAAGTGATGGTCCTTCTAGAAGCAATCCATGAATATACAGCAACAGGAGTTTAATATTTAGTGGTAGTCTAAAACCCCACAATATGAAATGTTCTGCCCTTTCTCAGAGAGGAAGAGCTCTGAGAACAAGTGTCCTCCCCCAGAAGCTAAGTGGGAAAGACCCACTCCTCAAATACCCAAAACACAAGCATAAGGGGACCTGTCGAAAGAAGCGACGGAAACTGCCTCGATGGTGCCATCTCGAGACAGCTGCCCACTGCGCCTCCAGGGCTCTTGGGACAAAAGGAGGCTGTGTGGAGGACACGTCTCAGCCCCGACTCTGCCACTTTTTTTGTCCCCCTCGTGGCTTTCTGGATAGTGACTGTGCCACTCTCACATGGATTTCTTCGCTTTAAGTAATCTTGGTAGCCTTATCACTCCTAGTCCCACCACCTGAGAGAAGCCCTGCTGCCATTTCAGTGTATGTCCCTCCCGGGCTTCTTCATATCTAGATTTCTATTTGTGTCTTTTAGTAAAGTAGAATCATATTAGATAGACCCTATTGGAAATCCTTCTATGTCACTTACAGTATATCATAGCATCTTTTTTTTTTTTTTTTTTTTTTTTTTTGAGACAGAGTCTCACTTTGTTGCCCAGGCTAGAGTGCCGTGGCATCAGCCTACCTCACAGCAACCTCCAACTCCTGGGCTCAAGTGATCCTCCTGCCTCAGCTTCCCACATAAGCATCTTTTTGCAGCATTAACTATTCTGCCTCTGCACTCATTTAATGGTTACAGAATACTCTATTTCCTTTCTTCTGGTTTCTTTTAAAACAACTTTATGAAGGCTATCTTTTAAAAATGATCCCTGTCACTTTGCAAAAGGAAAATTAGGTAGCTCTTGAGTTGAAATAGTAAAAATGCTCTGGTATCTTTGAATTACACTGATTCTTTTACCCAGATTGCTTTGCTGTCTATAGAAACAAAAAAAGCAAAAAAGCAAGAAATCACTCAAGGAAGGAGCGCTGGTCCTGGCAGTTAGGAAGGGAGAGTGGAGGAAGGGGTGCCCAGGTGGGGACCGGAAGTCCCAGCCATCAGAGGCTTCACCTTCTTGACAGGTGGGGTGGGGGCCACAGGGGTGCATGTGGCAGCTGTGCCTGGATCTGAGCCGAGTGTCTTTCCTCTCCCCAGCAGACCCGCCCATGGCCGCAGCAGTGGTGTCTCACTTTAACGACTGCCCAGATTCCCACACTCAGTTCTGCTTCCATGGAACCTGCAGGTTTCTGGTGCAGGAGGACAAGCCAGCATGTGTGTAAGTATCCCCTGGTCTCCGAGAGTGCTGGGGCTGGGGGTGGTCCAGCATCCAGTTAAAAGAGCATTTACCTCCACAAGGCTTGCCAGAGACCCCTGAGATCCCTGGAGCCAGGCATGTTGGAGGATCAGAAAAGCAGGCCGACGGACACCCGTTTCAAAACCAGCTAGCTAAAAATCCAGGTTCCAGGGCCCCCATCCCAGAGCCACTGAGGCAAAATCCCTGGAGGTTGGAGCCTGAGGCTCTGTATTATTAACAAGCATCTCAAGTGACTCCTGGGTTCAGCAAAATCTGAACATTTCTGGTTTAGAGTTTAATTCACTACTTAGAATTCCTGGAGGGCAAGGCATGGGGCTGGATGCCTTTGCATGGCCCAGAGTCAATAAGATGAGGTCTCTGCCCTCCAGCATCTTTGCAGTCCAGCTATGAATAGCGAAATGAGCTGGAAATGCATGCAGAGGGCCAGCATGCAAAGTGTTCACAGAATAAGGAGCAACTTAGAAATAAAGATGCACACCAGGGCACGGTGGTTTCCACACCTGGCCAAGCATCACCTGGCCAAGCATCACCTGGCCAACCATCAGCCTCCTCACGGTTTCTTAAAGTATTGCTTAGCCCCACCCTGACCTGCGGATCAGAATCTGCAGGAGTGGGACCCGAGAATCCTGTTAGGTAAGAGCCATGGTCATTGCTGTGGCCAGCCAGCTCGGGGGAGAAAAGCCCAGCAGGAAAGTTTCCCAGAGCAGAGAGGTTTTCCAGACCAGGAACCTGCTGTGAGAGGTCAGTGTGGCCACAACAGGGAGGCAGGGAGGAGACAAGTTGGAGGCCAGAGCCTGCTGGAAGTGAGCCTTTCTTCTATAGGCAGTGGGAGCCTGGTAAATTTTAGAAAGAGATATTTTGAGACAACCTGTCCATAGAATACTATCAGGTGGGCCTGTACTCAAGCTCGGCACTATTGACATTTGGAGCCAGACAGTTCTGTTGTGGGACCGACCTGCGCATTGAAGGGCACTAGCAGTGGTCCTGGCCTCTACCCACTAGATGCCAGTAGCACCACCACCCCATGGATTGTGACCATCAACAATGTCTCTATTGTCAAATGTCCCCTGCAGGACAAAATCACCCCCAGTTAAGAGCCACTGAACCATATGAAATTGCTACATTTATAGGTCAAAAGTGGTTGAAAGTCAGCAATTTCATATGGTCCAACCTAATAGTACCAGTGAATCATACTTAATGTTAATAAAAACCAGCATTTCTTGAGGTTTTGCTTCATGTCAGGCACTGTTTCAAACACGATCCACGCATGTACATACTCGTTCCTCATAACGACCCCAGGAGGTTAGCACAGGCTGTGCCCAGGCCACGTGGCAGAGCTTGGATTCAAAGCCAGCCTCTCTGGCTCCTGCAGCTGAGTCCTTAACCATGATGCCTAAGGGTATCAGATGCTTCTGCCCGGGACAGCCTGGGGACCAGAGAGCCAGCTGTAGTCAGCGGCGGGGGGCGGGGCTTCCCTCTTGCTGCAGTACAGCTGCGTGAGCCTGGGCGGGGCCCTTGGGCGCCTCTGAGCCTCACCTGGAGAGGAAGAGGGAGAGGCCGCTGGCCACCTCCCTCCTGGGAACGTCTGCAGAGCTAAGAGTCTCTCTCCGATCAGAGGCCTCCCTGCCCTGTAAACACAACGCATGATGATGACAGATGCTGTCATTATTCATGATTATCATTCTTATTAATAATTAATAATTAACACATTAGGGGCCCCTGGGGGACTGATGGGATTGTTTTCATTAGTGCCCTGGTCATTGTGGAAAAACACTGGCCCTGAAGGAAGTTTGGCCTCTTGACCCAGATGTCAGGAGGCCTCCCTGAACAAGCGGCAGGAGGCACTGTCCTCGCCGGCTGTGCCCGGTGCTGGGCCAGAGTCAGGCATGCAGGGCCTCCGTGTGTACGGGCTGCGAGTTGGGACGACCCTCTTTAGAGAGACAGGGCAAGTCTTTACCTGGCTGTGATCGAAAGTAGGTCAGAAACCCACTTTTTCCTCCTCATGTGCCCTCCGCACCAGATCAGGGGCTGCCTGGAGCCTGGGCCACCAGGCAAGCTGGGCCATCACCATGTCTGTGGCTGAGACCCACCTTGGCTTCTGGAAGCCTGCTAAGAGCTGGGGGTGGACAGCTGCCCTTCTCTTATCCTCAGTCTGGGTCCCAAGCCCTGCTCTTGGTCCAAGAGAAATAATTCTGCATCACATTCACACACCATTACATTTTGATGAATGTCTCCCCTCTCACCCACCCATATCATAAGTCTTACTATTCATCAAAAGCTCACAATAAAAGCTCAGCTTGTCCCAGGCATGGTCCCCAGGAGTAACTGCTGGAGTCCTCACAGCACCCCTCCAAGGGGGATCGTTGCCCTATTGTGTGGAGGAGAAAGAAGTGAAGCAACGTAGCCAGAGTCCCAGAGCTAGGAACTGGCAGAGGTGGGGCTCAGTCTGAGCACCCCAAACCCAGAGCTCATGCTGTCAGCTACTGCCCAGAGGACACTCTGCTTTAGCCTGACAAAATTCACCTCCAAGCACTCAGCTCTTTTGTTTCCAGCATCATTTCCTGCAGCTACCTTACCCCAGAGAAAGGTGAGGTCATTCCCAAGCTCAGTCCTCTGATCACACTCTTAAGTTTTTCCTGGGTGCCAAATGTGGGGTCTGCAGAGACAGCCAAGATCCCCTCACGTCTGGAAAGCTGACTATCTGGGGGAGGCACAGCCATGCCAGCAATTACTGCCTTTTTACCTCAGTTTCCCCACTGAATCTCGGTGCCTCAGGGGCAGTATTCAGCCCACAGACATGTTTTATGTGGCAGTAGAACATGTCCCACATTGTTGTTTCATGGCTTTAATTCGTCATGCACATTTTAGAAGGCAGCTTCCACATAGCCACGCAGATGGCCAGCCTCTCTTGACTAAACTGGACAATGGCAGTAACAGTCCTGAATTCCCAAACACAGCCACTCCGCTGGGACTCCGGTGTTCCCACTCCTCTACCCCAGACGGGGCTTGCCCTTTGCAGCCCTCCATTCTCCACCTGTCCCCACTATGCCCTGACACCAAAGCACAATGTTGTCCTCGGCCACCTGTTGCTACAGCTATTCTGCTCACACTAGCCCACCTGGCTCACTTCAGCTGCCCACATGCCCCCCAGGGCTTGTATGTACCCAGCCCCTCGACAGGGTCCTCCGCACGCCCCTCCAGCACTGACAGGGCAGGGTAGTGGGGGGCCAAGGGTGAAGTGCCGTCCCACCCTCCCTTACCCCCATGCTGGCTCATGAGCTCTGGGCAGACAGGACCACACCTTATACCTTTTTGTATTTGCAGCACCTAGAAGAATGTTCTGATTAATTTATTCCCATTAGACCAGAAACTCCAAGTCTGTGCAGAGAAAGCAGAACATTCTGTCCCTGCTGCTATGAACCGCCCCAGCTTCGGGGAGCTGACATGCACACATTCTGGTCAATAAAACTGACATTCTTGAGGTAGGGCCCCATCTGTCATGGCCTTATAAAGAAAACCCACAGGGAGCCAAGATTAGAGTTTCGAGAGAGGGAGCTCTTTCTAAAATATTGTCATTCTTAAACTTTGTCTTCCATAAGAATAATAGTCTTTACGTTTCCAGAGAACCTAAAATGATATCTCACACTATAAAACGAGGGGAAGAAGAAAAATGAGAACAAATAACAAAGGTAGTGAAAATTATTCTTAAATATATATGCTTCAGATGAGCCCTAAATTGTGTATTATGGCTCCTTCTAATAAACCCCCACCCCACCCTGAGTACCTGACCACATCAGAATCAAATGGGAAAAGAATTTCCAAAGACAGTCAAGCTATAGAAAGGCAAGGTTAGGATGCCAGCATCACTTTTTCCCTGAGGCAGATTCCTCAGGCTGTTGGTCTGGCGCCTGTAGAAGCCTTCAAACAAAAGAAAACAGGTAAAGGAAACCAGACAGGTGACAAGATTTAAGGGTTCTAGTGTAGGCAACCAGTTTGAAGTTTCTCACCTGTCCAAAATGCTCCCTGGTGACTGAACTCCCTGACAACTTTCCCACAGCAAAGTGTGAAAACAATTTGCTGTCAGCCAAGGAAAACATTCCACATGGCCCTGGCCACAGGACATTCCGGTGGAATCCGAGCAGACTTAAACACCCGGAGAGACCTGACCACCATCGGTGCATGAGCAGGCTGCCCATGGGACCAAGAGGTCAGGATGGGGGCGGTTTTCTTGTTGGTACTTGAGCCACTCTATGTGGATCACTATCATGTCGACAGTCATCAGGTGTAGGGGCAGGGTTTAAGATGCGTGACATCACTCCCATCCACGTCTGGAGAAAGTACATGTCCTCCTCTCCCCCTACACCCACCAGAAGCAGATAGTGAGGGTGACACACCAGACAGGATAAAGTGGCAACTAAAGGCGTGAATTGTGGTGGAATCCCGCTGAGTCTCTCATGCAAGTGACTTAGCCCCACTGAGTCTCAATTTCTTTGTGTACAAAACTATATATACAAAACTTTCTGCGTGCTAATACTTCATAGGATTGTAATGAGGACTCAGCAACAATAATGCATATAGAGCAATTGCTTTTAAGACAAGAGCCACTATGCATGGGAGGGCTATTTAAATGAATTGATTTAGTTGATTAATTAAAATTTAGTCTCTCAGTTGCACTAGCCACATTTTAAGCACTCAGTGCCTCAAGGTGGCTAGTACTGTGTTTATCTACCCAGATTAGACTCTGTCATTTCACAGAAAGTTCTATTAGACAGCACTGGAGAACATTCAAGCCCAGTTCCCCACAGAGCTTAAGATCTCAAGTGTTTGCTGGTGCGGCTACTGTCACTGCAGCTAAGGGACGTTGTAATGTTCTGCTGAAAGGCGTATAAAAGTAGGACAGACCACAGACCACGGAACCCATAGCTGTCCCAGTCCCATGAGACCCTTGTATCAAAGCTGAA